CTAATTGCTTGTTTGGGTTTATTCCTGTTTCAGCCATTAGAATACCACTAGCGAGCCACATAATGTCACAAATCAATTGTTTAATTTTTTAATTTATTTATTTATTATTATTATTATTAATTATTATTATTTTGGTTTTTCGAGACAGGGTTTCTCTGTGGCTTTGGAGGCTGTCCTGGAACTAGCTCTTGTAGACCAGGCTGGTCTCGAACTCACAGACATCCACCTGCCTCTGCCTCCTGAGTGCTGGGATTAAAGGCATGTGCCACCAACACCTGGCTTGTTTGATTTTTAAAAAGATTTTATTTATTTATTATGTATACAACATTCTGCTTCCATGTATATCTGCACACCAGAAGAGGGCACAGATCTCATAATGGATGGGTGTGAGCCACCATGGTTGCTGGGAATTGAACTCAGGACCTCTGGAGGAGCAGTCAGTGCTCTTAACCTCTGAGCCATCTCTCCAGCCCAAATCAATTGTTTATATTCTGTTTGTTTTTAATTTTTCCCATTTATTTTGTGCCATGACACACATGTGGAGGAGTTCTTGCAGGAGTTGGTTCTCTCCTTTCATCAGGCTTAGAGGTGAGCCAGTGACTTGAGATGACTCCTGTTTCTGGCCAGTGGTGGTGCACACACGTTTGATCCCAGCACTTGGGAGGTAGAGGCAGGCAGATCTCAGTAAGTTCTGAGGCCAGCCTGGTCTACACAGTGAGCTTCAGGACAGCCAGGATTGTTACACAGAGAAACCCTGTCTCAAAAAACAAAAACGAAACAAAACAAAAAAAGATGACTCTTGTTTCCTTACTTGCTTGTGTAATTGTTTGCTTCCTCCCTTTCCTTTTGAGTAACCCAGGATGGCCTTAAACTCAGTGTGTGTGTAGCTGAGACAGGCCATGAGTTTTTTATCTTTCCTGTCTCCCCCTTTCAAGTATTAGGATTATAGATACGTGCCACCATGCCCAGGAAACCTCTGTCTTATTCATTATTGTATTTCTGGCAATTAGCACGAGGCCTGTCATGCAAGAAGCACTCACTAAATATTTGTTGAATGAAAGAACGGATGAATGGCTTTCTCGAGAGCATCTTGATGGCTGAGAGGAAGAAGTAAACAACCTCAACTATGTGGGTGGTGCTGTGATAGACACAGATTGCTGTCAACATATCACACGAAGACATTACAGCAAGGCAGTTAATAGCAGTCTCACTGAAGTGGGGTGGTTGAAGCTGGGTGTCATGAAGTATACCTGTAATCTTAGCACTGTGGAGACAGAAGCAGAATCTTGAGTTCAAGGACAACCTGTGCTACACAGCAAGAAGACCCCCTTCCCTCCAAAACAAATTCCAAGTGGGATGATTGAGGCTAACTTGAGGTTCTGTCATTTGCTAATTGAGTGACGTTGGGTGGCTTGTCATTTAACCTCTTTAAACCTTATTTTAACTAAGTAAGATGAATGAATGACCATGTAATGGATTCTGTGAGGTTTAACTGAGATGCTGTATGTGAAGAACCTATTGTAGTTTGACTCTCTTTGAATTGCCAGCTCCCAAATAATGACACAGAGACTTCTCATTCATTATTAAGCTTGGCCTTAGTTTAGGCTTGTTCACACTACCTCTTTTTTTTTTAAAGATTTTATTTATTTATTATGTATACATCATTCTGCTTCCATGTATATCTGCACACCAGAAGAGGGCACCAGGTCTCATAACAAATGGTTGTGAGCCACCACGTGGTTGCTGGGAATTGAACTCAGGACCTCTGGAAGAGCAGTCAGTGCTCTTAACCTCTGAGCCATCTCTCCAGCCCCCTCATTACCTCTTATAATGTGTATTAACCCATTTACATTAATTTATATTCTGCCACATGGCTCGTTACCTCTCCTCAGTACAGCATGTCCCATTTCCTCCATTTCTGGCTGTCGAATTCTGCCTCTCTTCTTCCCAGAGTTTCTGTGTCTGCCTGGAAGT